AAGCAAGTGTGCGTTACCGCGCTCGCTTCCCAAAGCCATCCCGCCCTCCCGCGCCATTGCACCCGCTTGGCCCCGGCCCCAGCCTGCCTCGTCCCCCCCCTCCCCGGGGCTCAATCCTGAGGCTGGATCAGAAAAATCCCGTTTTTCCTGCTTTCGGGCTGTTTTCCCTCCTCTCCTTGCTGCTGTGCACTAGGGAAGGCCGTGCAGCCGCTTTTGCTTGGGGCGGGAGGCAGCGTTTCGTCCGCCGCCGGGATTATTTTGCCTCCCGCCGCCGGGGAAGGTCGTGCATCACCGCTCAACAACCATCTCCGGCTGCTAAAAATCTCCCTGTTTTCTGGTTTTTTTTTAAAGCATTTTGTCATTTGGCACCGATTCCCAACTGCTGTTGCTCCACCCCAACCTGCAGGTCTGCAACCCAAAACGAGAGGCTGAAGCGATGCGCCAGCTCCTGGGGTGGGCTCCTCTCAGAGCTGAGAAAAAAACGTCGTTCGACCGCTTTCAGAGCCTTTATCAACGCTTTTTGTTCTGTTTTAACCAAATCCGGAGCCTTTCGGAGGATCCAAACAGGCTGTCCGAGACCCGGCCGCGGCGGTGTCTTGGGTGGCAGCTGGGACCGTGACACGGCGAGAGGTGGGATGTGTTTTCTTGCTTTCTTTTCTTGATGAAGAGGTTTAAAAACCTCCTTGGACGGAGCCAACCTGGGGGCTCCCCCTTTCCTGGAGCCCCTACCCCCCTGGAACCCCCCAAGCGGGGGGCGCGGGGATGAAGGCAGGAGGAGGCAGCCGATCCCTGGAGCATCCCCGGCTCCTGGGGGCTTGGAGCCATGGATGCAAGCAAAATCCCGCACACGAAGGAGACAGAAAAACATGGATTCGGGATAAATTTGGCCTCCGAGCTGGCTTTGCTGGTGTTGTTCCTCTTGAGATCCCTGACCGGCACCCGAATTCAAGAGAAGAGGAATGTCGCGAGCGTTGGCCATGGGGGAACCTTGGGCAAACTCGCTAGAAAAGGGATCAATCCCCCCAAAACTGGTCCCACGGGAACCAGGTCTGGCAGGAACCGGCAGCACCGTCCATCCAGCCCCTGCCAGATCTGGTCATCACCGTCGCCCCGAGCGAAAGCTGCTCGCCACCGATGCTCGCCCCGAGTTGAGCGGCTGTGCCCTGGCTTTTGCTGGGGATTGTCATCGCAGAGCCCCTCTGGGGCTTCTCTAGGGTCTAGTATGGGGTTGAGCTCACACTGCAGCAGTCCCTTCCCTACCAGCACCCAAATACACTGCGTGATTTCAAGGCTTTCCCAGAGGATTTGGTATTCCTGTGCATCTCCATCGTTTCCAGAGGAAATGGGGCTGAAACCTTACAACCGACGTGGTGAATCCTACGGCCACGGGCAGCGTCGCCTGAGCATCCCGCAGGGCTGGGGCTTTGTGGGGGAGCCAACGGGGCCGCGCGCCGGCGGGATGGGGAGGGAAGGCAGCAGGGAAACCATCAATGTGACATTTCAGCGGAAGAAATACGGAGCCGTTAATGAGCTCGTTGCCATTAACAACCTGGGCAATTAGGAGCCACCGGGAGGGCAGGGAGACGCAGGGCTCTCATTACCACCAAGCCTGTGTCGCTGTGCCAGCCACCTTCATCCACAGCTGAGGAGGAGGAGGAAGGGACCCATCCAAGCCCAGGCAAAATGGGGAAAAAGTCTGCTTTCCATCTTCTGATCCTTGAACCTGCTCAAGGTCTTGCGTCATCGCAGGATTTTTGTAAAAACGTGGCTTTGCTAAGCCAGAAGTTGGACTTTTTGGGAACGCCCCAAGGGGAGGCAGATGGTTTGGTCTGGTCTCGGCAACACACCGAAGCACCAAATTCGGGTGAGGTTGTCCTGCCATGAGTTACAAAACCCTTGCGGCAGCGGAGGGATGGGGACGTCAGACACCCACACACACTCCGTGTCACCGCGGCCACCAGCAGACACAGCCACCGCGGCCACCAGCAGCCGCTTCGGCCTCGCTGGCGAGCACAGAAGGTTTCTCCAAGAGTCCTCAGCATCTCCCCCTGCTTTCCATCACCCCGTCCTCGCCTTCCCCATGGCCCGGAGGAGCCGGGCACGGGCTAGCAGCAAACCCAGAGCAGCCACCTTCAGTCTTCAGACACGACTCTCCAACACGATAGTCTTTAAGCATAGAGTGTATAAACATGCTGAGTATATAATTTTCCTTTAAAATCTTTTTTTTTTTTCCTTCTTTTCTTTATAGAAATAAATACTTACTTTGTTTTTTTAAGGGAATTTTGCAAGTCTTTGCGCTGTTTCGAATGGTGACATCTCCTCTGGGACCACACTCATGGGATGGTGGCCAGGGGGTCCCCGGGGGGGGGTGTAGCTTTGCTGGGTGGGTTTTTTTGCTGGTCGGGGCATCCCTTGCTCCTCTTGCCCCTGGGTTACGCGTGTCCCAGCCTCCCCGGGGTGGAGGTAAACCCACAGCGGGGAGCTCGTCCCCGGTGCCGGGGAGCTCATCCAATGCTGCCCATGGGGGCATGGTGGGACGCAGTAGTTTCTCGCAGGCATTTTTTTTTGGGCTCCCAAATTTTGTGCATATGGGGAACAGCCTTCTCCTGGAAAGCTGCAGGCAGCGGGGGAACGGAGCTGCTTCAAATGGGGGGTTATAGCCAAAAAACCCTACCCTGCTTCAGAGGAGACGGCGTAGACAGGACGAGGGGTGGATGAAATGGTCTCCTGAGGTGCCTTCTGGGGTTGGAGACCCAGGAGCTGCCTCCAGCCCACCACCAGCTTCAGTGATCTGGAATAGTCTGTCGAGGTGTCCATGGGTTGCCAGCATGCTGGGAGCCCACGGCTGAGGTCTGCAGCTCTCGTGACGTGGATGAGGAAGGTAGTACCAGGATGGGTCTGCAGCCTTCTCCCTCCTGGGGGGATGCTCCACGGCAGCCCATCACCCTGGGAGGGCTGGAGGAAGGGGAGATGCCCTGGGAAGGGCTGTCTCCTCGCAGCCATGCTGGCCAACAGGCACCGAAACCGCCAACGATGGTCTAGAGAAGAGGACAAATCCCACAAATCTGCTTTTCCCAGTCGGCTCCTCTCGGCTCAGCATGCCGGGCCCAAGCATGCCTGGCTGGGGCTCGGGGTGGCAGGGGGCTGCGGTTAAGGCCGGTATGTCCCTGCTGCTGGCAGTGCTGTGATGGGTGTTCCCCATGGCGTGGGCACCTTCTCCCCAGGGTGGAGGATGGAGACACCTGACCCTGCTGGATGCCTTTCTAAAGCCTTTTCCTTTGGAAAAAGAAGGGTATTTTGGTGGGGATGATGTCCTTGCAGGCAGAAGACAGCCAGAAGAAAAAAGCAGAATTAAAAAAACAGCCGTGGCCATAGAAGGGATCTACCAGGGCAGTTGGGTTGGTGTCTTCACCAGCAGCTTTGGATTTCAGGACAATTGGGCCAGGGTTTCTCCTTCAGGCTGCTTGGGAAGGCGATGAGATGGCAAACATGGGTGTCCCCTGCCAGTCCCTCTCTCCGCATGGGACAACTCGCTCCAGAAGAAGCCTGAGCGGGTGGTGGATGTTGGTGGGGACAGAAGCATGACCCGTGTTTCCTGGTGGACGAGGATTTTGGAGATGGTTTATTGCCTTGGCAGAAAGGTTTGGGTGGAGAGGGAGGTGAGGCTGGAAACCTCTGGAAGATCAACCATCTCTCCTGGTGTCTTCTGGCTCCTACAGCTCCCGAGATGCAGCTCTGCCATCTGGGCTTGTGCTGTGGTGGCTGCTGGTTTCTGGGCAGTATTTACCCAGGTTTGGGTGCCCCTCTGTTAAACAAATGAAATGAAAACAAGCGGAATGGGCACCGTTTCCTCTGGAGGAACGGCCCCTTCCCACCTCCACCAGCCACGGAGAGGACGGGGACGGTCCAGCCATGACGCAGCGACGCTGAGCCCAGCATTCTGCAAAGAACCCACAGGGATGTGCTGAGCCATCCTCAGCTCCCACACCATCAAACGGCCAAAAAAACCCCCAGAAAGAGAGTTCGAAGAAAAAGACATTCCCCAAACAAGGATCCTTGGCAATGAGCAGCTGCGGGGGGTTCAAAGCTATCTTCCCTCCTGGGAAAGAGCGTAGCCCTGCCTCTTTGGGCAGCTGAAAAATTTCCTTAAGTAGCACCTTCTCACCCGCGAGCTGGCCCCGGGGATGAGCACCGGCTGCCAGTCACTAAGGCCTGCAAGAGTTTGGGTTCTTTTGTGCATGGTCCAGCGTCTCCGCGCTCCAGGTCCGGCAACGGATGAGCAGCGGATGGTGGGTTTGGTTTCACGGGGCCTCTGGCTCCGCCGGGCAGAGGAGGGAATGTGCTTTGTGGTTCCCTGAAGGTCTAACAGCCTCCTTCCACTTTGATGTGTAAAATCTTGGAGAAGCCGGGTCTTTTCCTCAGGGCCTGGAAGAGGAGCAGGGAGCATGGTCGGTGCAGGACCTGGCAGCCTTGCTGCCCCACAGGGTGAGCAAGAGAGAGGAGAGGACATCTCGAATCCCCACCATGGGAAGAGGTTCGCTCTGGTCCCATCCCCACCACCGCATCCCATGGGGATTTGGCTTCCTTGCAGGACTGGCTCAATGCCTCTTAATCCCATGCCCTTGAATCTAGCTCTGGATTTGGTTTCTGCTTGGTTAAAAACACCATTTCCAGAGGAGAGCAGTAGTTTGGGGCAGATGACATCAATGTAGAATCACAGAATCATTTAGGTTGGAAAAGACCCTTAAGATCATCAAGTCCAACCGTTAACCCAGCACTGCCAAGGCCACCACTAAACCATGTCCCTAAGCACCACATCTACCCGGCTTTTAAAGCTCTCCAGGGGTGGGTACTCAGCCCCTGCCCTGGGCAGCCTGGGCCAGGGCCTGACAGCCCTTTCGGGGAAGAAGTTTTTCCTAATATCCAACCTAAACCTGCCCTGGCGCAGCTTGCAGGGGCAGGTGGGATTTGCAAAGCACGGTGATGGGCGGCCATGCAAGGAAAGCCCTTCCGAAATGGCTCTTCTCTGAAGGTGACCCCCAGCCTGGGGATGGACGTGGGTTTGTCTCACTGCCTGCTGTTGTTCCCATGCCAGGGCTTGGCAGTGGAGCAGGAACTGCATGAGCCTTCTGACCCATCCGACTGCACTGGTGGGCCTCTGTCCCCAAGTTCTGCTTTGCACCTCACAGGAGTTTCACCGTACACCCCCATGGGAGCCCAACCTGCTGCAGGATGAAGTCAACCAGGGGATGAAATGAAAGGGAGGCACCTATTTTTCCCCTTGGACATGGATGGAGATGTCTGCCTTGGAGACCCTGAACAGACCAAGGACAGCCCAAGCCTTGCTTGAGCATCACAAGCTAAGCAAGGTCTGCAACTCAGCCTAACTAAAATTAACCCTATTTCTGCTTTTATGGGTGGATTTTAAATCACTCTGGCAAGTAAGTGGCCCTGCAAAGGAGGCAACAGCCCTTTTCTGTCCCCGGGGAAGAGACCCACAGAGAAGCAGTCCTGGTTAAAGCTATGGGAAGGAATCACAGCATGTTAGATCTTGTTTTAGCCTTTGGGGCATGTGTGTCTGAAGGACAGCGAGCCTTCTGGATGTCCCTAGTGAGCTAAAATGGTCTCTACTGAGGAACTTCAGTGGTGGGCAAGAATTTGTCCTCAGACCTCATGGGGACACGAGAGTGGTAACACACGGGTGATCTGGGAATGGCATCCTTTACCTGGAGTTTGTTCACCATTTCTTCAAACATCTTCTTGGCTTCAGGGCTGTGGGGCTCCTTGAAGTAGTCCACAATGCCCACCTGCACGACGATGGACTTCAGGTTCCGGCACACACCTGGGAGCAGAGATACCGCCTGGCCTCGCCATACCTGGTGGGGAGCTAGCCTCCCCGCCACCAGGATGGACCCTAAAACCCACCCAGTGCTCCTCAAAGCCTTATGCATTTGGGGAAACCTCAAGATGGAGGAGACCCGCCCTTGGTGACCAAACCTCTGTAGGGAGGACGGTGGTCTACGAGATGGTCCCTGATTGTCCTATCACAAATCAGCAGTCCTACCGCTTCCTTGGGAAACGCTTACTCTTGCACCCAGAGGGGTGGGTTCCCATCAAGTCCAACCACGGTCACATGTCCCATGACCACCAGGAATGGCACCTCAAACAGACCCTCCTGCTGGCCACAGACCTCTTTCCCCCTGGAACTGCTGTCCTGGCAAATGGCTTTGGTAAATGGCGTGACTCCAACCTCAGATACACCTGGGTGAACCTCAGGTGTGTCACAGACATTGAGGCCTCGATGATACTGGGGAGAGCATGGAGGGAGTGTCTCTATCCTCCCTATGGCCCAAGGCAAGATCAGCCCATCCTTGGCATGGGGCTGTTGGATCCCCTCTTAGAAACCTTCCACCACGGAGCTCCCAGCACCTTCCAGTGTTGTCAGTGGGTTCCTGTGGGTGGGGCTGGAAGGCAGGGTCTGGTTCATGGATCTGGATATCTGGTGGCTTTTTGGTCAATGGACCATGCTATGCACTCCCCCTCCCAGCATTGCTACTCACTGTTGAAGTGCAGCAGGGCTTTGGGGGTGACCGGCGTGGAGGTCAGCACCAGCATCTCCAGCCCCTTCAGCCCCTCTCGGCACATCTCCGCCGCAACCTCCTGGTTGATCTCCGCCACGTGGTCCAGCTCCAGGACCTGAAGCCGCATGCAGTTTCGGGCTGGAAGGACAGAGCACCCGCCATCAGCACCCCACGGGGAAGGGATGAGGGCAGCCAATGGGAATGGGGTGGGAGGAGGGATGGGTGGCAGCAAGGAGGGGCAGGGTGCACCCATGGTCCTTGGGGTGGGCTTCTCCACTGAGATCCCCATGGGGCATTTCCTAGGGGTATACCCTGCCTCCAGCAAGGTCCCCTTCTCCTTGTCCCATCAGAGGAGAGATGCCTACCTAAGGACGCCAGTCCCTGGACGCCGCAGCCTGCCCCTCCAACGCCCAGCGCCCGCAGGTGCGGCCAGCACCGGCCGATCATCTGAAGGCAACGGTTGCTGAAACGCGTCGGCTGCTGGCTGGGGAGATGAAGAAGGAAGAGCTGGGGAGAGCTGGCAGAAAAGCTCTCCCCCCACCCCCCAGCCCCTCACGAGCGCTCCTGCAAGTGGTGTGGGATTGGGACCTCTCCCACCCCACCGACCCGGGGGTCGCCACGCTGCAAGGAGGTGTCTCCAGAGCAGATGCCTCCATCTGAGCAACCACCCTGGGCTGTGCTGCAACCAGGACAGGGCAGGTTCATGCACTCAGTGGAGTCCCTCTGCCCCAAACCCTCCACCTTTGGAGATCTGGACCTCTAGCTCAGGTGCAGAAGCCTACATGCCATGTAGTGTTTCCCCCAGGGAAGAAACAAGCCCTCGGGGACTTGACATCCAGCTTCTGCCAAGAGACATCCCCTTCTGTACACCTCAATCCAGGCTGACGGGGGACATGACATTGCAACAAACCTCCCAGGACACGAAGAAATGCCCAGGAGGCAGCCCCATGGCATGGAGGTGAGGAGCCAAGTGCCCTGCTCTGTGAGCCATGAACTCCTCAGCACCCAGATGTTGTGGGACGGAGATCCACCACCACCTTCACACCCCCAAAATGCTTTTCCAAAGCAAGAGGAACTGCAGTCATCTCCCTAAACAGCAACTCGACACCCTTTTAAAAACATCCAGGCCCTTCAGAGCTGCTGTTATATGAGCAGTGAGGAGCTCAGACAAGCGTTTGATGTTCAGCATCGCCTACCAGACCCATCATGGCTCCCCTTTCATCTCTGGTGTTAGCAGCCTCGCCAGAAACATTCCCGGCTTGGCAGGGAGGTGCCTGCACCCAACAGCTCCCAGTCTTCGCAGGGAGGGATGGGGCTGAGCTCCCAGTCCCCCAAACTGGCCTCCAGGATTGCTGCTCATCCCACGAGGACCCCCCGCCAAGCAAATCTGGATCTGGCACCCAATTTCTTTCCAGCCCAGTGGTGTCCCTCACACTCAGCCTGGCCTCCTCCTAGCATGACTCTTACCACGGATGCAGAGGTGCGACCTGGAGGGAGATGATGTCCCTGCAACCTGCTCCAAGGGCCCAGATGACTTCATGACCCACGGGGTCCGTAGAGCTCCTGGAACAACACAGAGGACACGTGGTGGCCCCCACCGGCAGCGATGCTGCCCCAGGGGCTGTGTCTGCAGCCTCCATGCTGCTACATCTCTCTGCACCTGGAGGTACAAATCTGGTCATTATTTATAACCCACGATCTGCCCATGAACCAGACAGTCCCAACACCAACCCATGCAGGAAGACTGAAGGCGTTTCGATCTGGAATTGTGCCTACAGATGTGCAAGGTCAAGAAAAATGGAAGAAGGTGAGGTTGAAGGTGAGGCTGAAGGTGAGACTGAAGATGAGCTAAGGGCTGAAGGTGAGGTTGATGGTGGAAGGTGAGGTTGAAGGTGAAGGCAGAAGTCTTCCAAATGCAAATGTGGCAGATGATTGAACTGAGACTGGACTGCCAGGTCGTGTACCCTTTGCAGAGCAAATATAACATCCCTGCAGATCCCACTGGGTTGGTTTCACTTGCCACCTGCCCAGCCTGGATGGGGAAGGTGTCGGGAGGTGGAAAGGACATTTGGACATTTCAGCTGATTGGTGGTAATTTCCAGCCAAGGGTAGTGGCTGTTCCATGGCCTCTGTACCGGCTCTGCAGTTGTGCCACCACAATTGTAGGTGGCTGTTGGCCAAATGTTGCTGCAGAAGCTTGCTGTGGGCTCCTCCTTGGTGTTTTTGGAGGTATCAAAACAGATCTCATGGGATGCTGCTGGATTCGTGGAGGTGTAGGTTTATCATGAGTCATGGCACTGATCAGGCGCAGCCACGCTGCCTGCCCACCCGGCATTTGTGCCACTGGCTCAGAGGAGCTTTCGCTGATGCCGTCGGCTCCCTGCACCGAGTCAATGGAGGAGAGATGTCAGAGAGCATCGTCCTGATGCTACCAGCCCAGACAGAGGCCCCCGGCTGCTTCACTGCACTGGGTTCCTCCCGAAGACCGAGGCTGCACTTCCTAACTCTAAATGACCTACTTCAAAACTTCAGGCAAGCCTAAAAATAAGTGTTGGGTGTTATCTTGAGCATTTCACGCGTCTCCACTGAAGATGCTTGCCAAGAGCCCCTTGTGAGCGCGGTGGGTTAATTAGAGCATGAGTCAGAGTCACAGGTTAGCAACGTGCCAGGAGCGCTTGGGCTTGCTCTAACACCCTTGGAAGGGCCGATGGAGGAGTCTTTGGGTTAAACCTGGCAGCACCGGCCTGCCTCAGGGTGTGGGATCCCCAGATCAGAGCTGTTGCTTGGTTCAATGTGGAGGAGCTGGCGGGGTGTGCTTTCCCACCTGAAGGATTCTCCCTCCTGGGCTGGATGAGGACACCCATTGGCTGCAGGTGAAATGGATGCAGGGGCTGAAGTGGTCGTCTGCAGGGCACAGTGGAGCAAGGACCATCCTCCTTGAGAGTGTAGGAAAGCTAAATCCTGTCTCCATGGGAGGCAGAGCCTCTTTGGAAGGTGGCCAAGACCAAGGAGGAGTCAGTGATCTCCTCCAGGACCTGTGACCTCCTCCAGGACCTACACCATCATGGGCCTTGTGTCCTTGCTCTTGGGCAAGGTCTCCAAGTTGGGTCTTAGCAATCCTGTGGCAGTGCTGTTCCTCCCTCCCAGCACAGAAGGACCCCGAGGTCTCTTCTCCCCATTAGAAGCCTTCGTCAGGGTGTGACAGTCAGGTGGGACCTCACTGGGCCCCGGTGTTGGTGCCCATCTTCTTCACCCTTCTCTAACATAAAGCAGCGTCCCCATACCAAGACCCCGGTCACGCCTCCAGCTGGGGTGAGATCAGAATGGCGGGAATGGAGCTGGAAGGGAAACATCTGCATGGGAACATGTCAGAAGAGGATGAGAGTTGCAAGGACAGCTTGCAGGGGGGACACTGGACACTGGGGCTGCTGCTGGGCTGGGGACATGAAAGGTGGGTCCTTCGCACCTGGCCAGACGGGCTGCCTTCTGACAGGGAATGGGGATGGGCATCAGAGGAGTCCCAGCACATCCCGTGGAAGTTCCCAGCCTTCTCCCAGCCAGGGAACCACACGGTCCCTGTGGGCAAGGGGGGGAAGCTGGTGACCAGCCTTACCGGTACGTGACAGCCTGCAGGGCCCGGCAGTAGCAGCTGGCCAGCCAGAGCGAGCGATCCGTCAGGACGTTGGGGCAGTGCGAGATGCGGAGGATGAGCAGGTTGCTGCCCGTCGCCTTCAGCAGGGACTCCAGCCCGGCTTCCAGGCAGCCCCTGCCGGGGAGGGAGGCAGGGTCAGGCCTGGGCGCCCACGCTCACACTCTCCATGGCCACCCCGCGGCCACCCCAGGAGGGTGACATGTCCCGGGGGGTCTCGTGGCTCCAGGACGCCCAAAACCCACAGCAGGAGCTGGCATGCAATGAACGTCCATCAGTGGAAACGGGATGTTGGGGCTCATGGAGCATCGTCATCCCTGAGGACCAGTGGCTCCGGCTGTGGGAGGAGGTGCCGGGGACACGGGGACTCACCGCGTGCTCTTCATGTAGTCCTCCTTGCTCTCCTTCTTCCCTCGCTGGCGCGGCTTGAGGTTTTGGAGGGTGAGGGAGTGCATCTGGGTGCACCACTGAGACAGCATGGCCAGGAACTGGGGGGAGAGGGGTGGCCGTCACCGAGGGGGACACCCTCACCATGCCCCATGCCACCTGTCCCTGGCTGTCTTTGGGCAGATCTGTACAGACACATGCACACACACAGGCATTTCTGCATGCACACACAGACCATAAATATGTGAAAATGCTCATAGGAGGTCATGCAAGAGTGTGTGCAATAAAATCACAGGTGTGACCACAAAAAGCTTGTGAAAACATGTGCGCATGTGAGCTCATGCACGTGTGAATGTGCAACGCATCCAGCCGCTGGTGCAAGCACACAGGTGTGTGCACCCATGTTCCCGTGACCATAATGGCATGACCAGCAACACAAGTGAGGTGCTTGCACAGCTTCAGCTTTCTGGAAGAAAGGTCTCGCCCTGGGCAGTGCCATCCCCATCCCTGGTACCTTGGAGGACACCCTGGCGTTCTCCAGCAGCACCCGTGTCCACACAGCCGGGTGCCGGGCTACGAATTTCCAGTCCTTGCACACCTCGGCTGCCCGCAGCAGGGTCTTGGTGTCCAGGTAGGTGAAGATGCAGAAAAGAGCCGCCCGCATCTTGAGGATCTCAGGGCTGATCACCTCGCTGGAGTGGCCCGGGCTGCCCCTCTCCAGCCGGCCCACCTTGCCCCCGGCCCCCTCCGTCCTGGCTGTGGGACACCCACCCTCAGTTGCCACTGGTGGTCGGGGAGGACAGCAGGGAAGGGATGCTCCTCGCAGAGCCGAGGAGCCATCCCCGTCCCCCACCTTCCAGCCTCCCCGTCCTCCCACCCCACCAGAAGAGCCCAGTGCGGTCTCACCCGTCAGCCGGCAGCTGCCCGCGGGTCGGGATGCTGCGGATCCAGGTGCATCTGGCTCCCAGCCCTCGGCCTCCGACTCGGTGGTGCGGGAGCCCACGTCGGAGACGTCGCCCTCCTCGCCCTCGGTGCTGTTGCGGTAGGGCCGGCGGTGCCAGTTTTGGATGGCTTGCCGGCGCAGCCCTGAGCCCCGGGCGCTGTCCCGCGCCGGGTAGGGATGCCCGTCAGCGGTGTCATCGGTGGGGCACGGCTCTGCGCTGTCGCTGTCGTAGCAGCCCGAGCTCTGTGACACGGCTTTCGCCCGACTTGAGGCCCTGGGGGACGGGGATGCCCAACCTCAGTGCTTGCCGGGGTGTGCATCCCCTTCCTGTCAGCTCCTAGCCCGCCAAAAAATGAGCATCCTATTAAAGTCCTGAACAGGCAGCACTGATAGGGGACTCACCCGGTGCTGGAGGAGGAGCGCTGGTTGGACACACCATAAGGACCATGCACGGCCGCCCCCGGCCCCGGGTGCCGGTCTCTCTGTGGGGAGATGAGACAAGAGGAGCCAACATGGCAAAACCCAAAATGTGGGTGGTGCAGCCAAGGGAGATGACCCTGATTACCCACCCAGTGCCAGCTGCGTTTTGGGGAGAGGCAATACCCAAGTGAGATGCAGAAGAGCATCTCCAGCATTGCCCCATCGCCTTGCCCACATTTGCCGTGGAAGTATAGACCCACTGAGAAGCAACTTTTCTTTGGGATCCCCCACCCAGGATTATCCATTTCCCCACAGGAATGAGATGAGGGTCCCTACACCTCCCCGCTCAACCCTTTGCAGTCATCAGAGAAGCCACATGGGTGCATGCCCGAAGCCACTGGGTTGCCCGTGCCTGTGCCCGCGGAGGTACCAGTCGGCCGGCGGCCTTGGCCCCTGGCGTGCCGCAGCGTCCCAGGCTGCCGTTTGGGGTGGTGCCGCAGCTGCTGCTGATGATCTGGAGCTGCTTCTCGGCCCGGTCCGCCCGGTCCAGCAGCTCCTCGATGAAGTGCTGGAGGCGGACCTTGGCGTTGGCCTCGCGGGCGGCCGTCTCCTTCAGAAACTGGTCGATCTGCAGCACCTCCCTGTGTGGAGGGAGCAGTGGGTGACACCCCGATCCTTTGCCACCCGTCCCTGTTAAGCACCTCCATCCCTGTTGGGCTGGGGGTCAAAGATGCTGGTGTGCATCCAAACTGGTCCATCGTCAGCCTGATTTGGATCTGTGCCAGCCCAGACGGCTCCTGGGCATGGTTCGGGGCAGAGCAAGGACCAAGGGGTGCTCCTGGCACGCAGGGTGGAGGTGGCCACCTTGTTTTGGGGGGGATGACATCCCCAGCACCTTTGCTGGGATGTACATCGCTCCCAGGACTGGGGTCAGGCCCCTGAGAGAGATGGAGCGGAGGGAGGAGGAGGAGGAGGATGGTGCGGCGGGATGACGGAGGAGGATGGCAGTGGTACTTTGCCTCATTTCGGGCAGACTTAAAGGAAAAACGTTAAGAGCAGCCTGAAGATGTCATCCCTGAAATGGAGCCAGCTCTGGGGTGGAGCGTGCCAGCAGCTGAGCGACCCGAGGTGGCCCCATCCCGCCCCGCACACGTGTGTGCCCTGGCACACACGCACCCGCCGACCTCATCCGCTTCCCAAAAACATGGGTGTGCGCACACAGGCACACGCAGCCGTCACACCCCCATGACCGCACACGTCCCGAAAACATGTGCAGCCATCGCACCCCTGCAAATGCACGCGCCCCGTGAGCGCACACATGTACACCCAGGCTGGCACACGCGCACAGCCGTCGTGCACACCCACAAGTGCACCGCAGGCACGCGCAGAGCCGCCCTTACACACACAAGCACCATGAAAACACAAATGCAGACATACCCGCCGACACACACACACAGCCAGACACAACCGGCACACGTGCACAGGCAGCATCACGAGCACGCACGTGCACACCCCCCCCAGATACACATACAGTTGGACACATGCACAACCAGCACGGTTGATGGTGCACACACACGTGCACAACTGCTCTCACACCTTCACTCAGCATCCACGAACTCCTGCAGATGCACAAACATCGCTCTGCATGCCTGTCTTGTGCACACCTGACTGCACACACCTGACCATGCACACCCGACTGTGCATACCCGACCATGCACCAGTCTGCACAGGAGCACGAAGGAAAAGGAGGGGGCAGCCCTTAGCGACATAATTCCTCTTGCTGCTTATTAATTGCCATTTAATTACCAATTAATTGCCCCCAAACCTGCCATTTGCAGGGCGAGCTTGGAAGCTCCCCGGTAACGATTTGGGAAGGCTCCTGGTGAGGGGCCCCCGGAGATTTGGAAGGCAAATGGGGCGCTGGCTCGGCGGGTGTAAGGTGATGCTGATGGTTATCACCTGCATCTCTCTCATTCCGGTGGACCGGGTGGAAAAAAAAAAAAAAGCCTCCCATGGGGACAATGGCCTCGTGGTGTTTCAGAGCTGGGAAATGTCCTGGGCCATGTTTTGTTCTTGGGGAAGGGTGAAACTGGCTTTGCCGAGGAAAATGGTTTCCGATGATTTCCCCACATCTAGGAAAAAAAACCATCTCTTTTCATCAGCTCTTCCCATGCTCTCTCTGCAACCTGGCAAGGGATTTTGTCATTCTGGCTGGAGGAGTCTGGGGACCGATGGGGACTGTCAAGGGGCAGGAGGGTTTCTCTAAGGAAAGGGAGGACCAGGAGGTAGTTTTGGGGCATAAAACCAGGTTCTCAGGTGGTAACGGTGTCCAGGCTCCACCATGGATCGAACAAGATGTGTTTGACCCATTGGTCACCCTCTGTCCACCCTGTCTTAGTCATTATTTCGGAGTCAAAGTCATTAATGAACATGCTGACAATGGTGGGGATCAAGACAAGTCCTTGAGGAATCCCACCAGTGCTCCCAGCCCAGCACAACCATGACTGGCCCCCACTAACCTGCTCCTCACTGACTTTCTGGACCCCGTAGTGGCCTCCAGCTTTGCTAGGAAACTCCTGAGGACCAAGGTCTAGTTTGCTTGAGCCACACCGATGGGCAAAATGAGCCAATGCTTGATTGGAGGGAAACTCAGGCACGGCGCTGGGGTGGGAAGGGGGTGTTGAGTGGGGAACACGGGATGAAAATGAGGATGACAGTGCCATGGTCCTAGCAGCAAATGGAGGTCATACTGCTTGGGCTATCCCACCCTCCTTCTGGGAGAAAAACCCTGAATTAGGCATGGCCAAGGTGGCCGCTCTCATGTTTATGACCATGGGACAGATCAATGGGATTGCTCAGGTTGTATAGGGCTGGACAACACAGCGGTGGAGCCAGAGGGGATGACCCAGCCCTGGCTTTGGGGGAACACCCTTTGGTACTAGAGATGGGCTGCAGCAACCTGGCCACCACCACGTTCTTTGGCAGGACAGCAGGATGGCCACGTGCATCCCCAGTCTGGCCATGCCCTGGGGGCACTGGTGGCTCTGGGACAAGGTCTGACATGACGTGACCCAGCTTGGTCATAGACATGGAGAGGCTCAGGTCTATGTGGACACTGCCCATGTGGGGGAAGATGCAAAACCTGATGAGCAATGATGCTAATGGGCATTGCTGAGGGGATTGTGCCCTAGGAGGGTTTGTGTCTGAGGGTTTGGTGATGGTCGTGGGCTCCTCAGGCCTGCCATTGCAGACCGATTTCCCCCCACCCTGCAGCTGGGAGAGAGAGCAAAGGACTCACTGTTGCTTGCGGGTGAGCTCCTGCTCCTTCTGCACCAGGTCCTGCTTGAGGGAGGCCAGCATCTCCACACTGACGTCCACCTGGCGGGACAGCTCGGATGCCCGGTCCTCCAGCTCCTGCTTCTCCCGGCTGAGCCGCAGGCTCTCCTGCTTGGCCTTCTCCAGCTCCGAGCTCTTGCGGTCCAGCTCCACCTGCAGCCGGCCCACCTGCGAGGCGATCTTCTGCTCCACCTCCTCCGTCAGCTTCTCCAGCCGCTTGTCCACCTCCAACTTCTCAAAGGCGCGGATCTTCAGGCGGGCCAAGCCTTCCTCATAGGCAGAGTCCATAGTGGCCGGTGGCACAGGGGCCGGTGCCACAGCTTTGCCCCGGGTGAAGATCTCCGTCAGGGGGATCTCGATCTCGTGGACATAGCGGGGCGTAGGGGAGGAGGACGGAGCTGGCTCCAGCTCCTCAGCAGGGACGAGGTCGCAGGAGAAGCGTTGGTCCTTGCCTTGGAAGGAGGTGCTCTCAAAGTAGTCCCGCCGGGTGGCTGGAGTCAGCAGGGCCCCGTCGGGGGCCAGGGGGAAGACGGCGGCATCGCAGATGCTGTTGGTCTTGGAGAGGACGTAGAGGGTCTCATAGGTGTGGTTGTACTCCAGGTGCGCCCGCAGCGAGGAGAGGCTGCGGAAGCGCTTGTGCTCCCCGCACCGCGGACACCGGTAGGGCAGGTCCAGCGAGGCCATCCCTCAGCTACGCGCCCGGACCCAGGGGAACCGCACGGCCCCGCTCATGGCGCGGGATGGATGGACCGGTGGCACGTGGGATGGGTTGGGGAGCCCTGGGTGGTGGGACCACGGCTCCGCTGGGGCATGGTGGGGTGAGAGCCCTGGGATGGAAGCAGGGGGTCCGGCAGTTCCGGGAGGGATGTCAGCATCGGCCGGTGCCAGGCGCTGGAAGAGATAGGGGGGTTACTGATACAGGGACGGCTGGTCCCCAGAAGTCCCTCCTTGGTCCTTCTTCTTGTTCCCCCCTCTGCCTCCGTCCTCCCCTCCCATGTTCCTCCCACTCATGCACGGCCCTTGGGAGGGTGCACAATGCTCAAGAAGGTGCACAACCCTTGGGAATGTGCACAGCCCTTGGGAATGTGCACAGCCCTTGGGAATGTACACAGCTCTCGGGAAGACCCACAACCTTTGGGAAGATCCACAGACCTTGGGAAGATCGACAGACCTTGGGAAGACCCACAACCCTTGGGAAGACCCACAACCTTTGGGAAGACCCACAACCCTTGGGAAGATCCACAGCCCTTGGGAAGGTCCCCCACCCCTTGGGAAGGTGCACAACCATTGGGAAGGTTCACAACCATTTAGGAGGAGTACTGTCATCAGGATGGTGGACAAGCCATGAGAAATCTCTCTCCATCTGCCCTGAGCTTGCTACAGAGGGGTGACCCATGTGCTTTCTTGCCCAGCCACCATGAGCCCCTGCAGTGCCAGGGGTCTCCAGGCCCCAGGAGCATCCCTCTGTCTGGGAAGGATGCAGAGCCACTTCCTCCAAGCAAAGGGTGACCCAGTCCTGCTAAATCAGCCTGCACAGCCTTGCAGCAGGATTAGTTACTTCTCCAGCCCCTCACCGTAACCATCAGGTCTCATCGCTGATCCCCTCCGGGGCTGTGGGACCCCCCATGCCGGTGATATAGAGGACCCAGTGGCTTCCCAAGCCTGGGCAAGTGAGGGTCCCTGTGGGGACCTGGTTTATCCCCCATTCACAAACCCCTCCAAGACATCAGGGGGGAAAAAACCCCACCCTTGTGAAATGGGATAATCCCAGCAAAAATCCAGCCTCGGAGGCACAAGCACACATGGGGGTGGGTTGCTGCAATGCTTTCACCCCAAAGCACCGAGGGCACCCATGGGTGGGAGCATCTCTCGCTCGTCTCTCTGCAATATCCCACAAAGGGCTCTTCCCATCACCTTAAAACCTCTCTGAGCCCCTGTGCGCCCCACAACCGCCATGCAGTGAGTGCGAAACCGTCACCGAAGCCTCCATCGTGCTCATCCCCAGGGCAGCATCCCCTGCGGCTCAGCACCTCCCTCGGAGGGCACAACCGGGCCACGAGGTTTGGGAAACCATTTTTCAGGGAAAAATCAGTGAAGGCAAGCAATCCATGCAAAAAATAAAAGTAAGATGTGCTGGGAGGATTTCTGGAACTGCCTGGCTGTGTTTTGGGGTCGTTACAAAACACACCCTCGCACGTTAACCCTGCCTGGGCAACCACCGGCACCAGCCTGGCCCAAACCTGGCAAACACAAAGCACCGCCGGCAACTTCGGTTGCTGCCGATGGGATGAGAAAGCGCTTTTCCATTGTAGGGATGGGGCCACAGCATCGTGCCACCGATAGCTCAGGCCTGGCTCCCTGCCTGCGTCTCCCGGGGTACCCGATCAGCCTCGGTCCGTATTTCCCAGCCGTAAGCTAAGGCAGGATCTGGCCCAGGTGGGTCCGAATGCACCCATCACCCAGTCCCTGTCCTGGGCAGGTCCTACCCTGACCACAAAACCTCGGCTCCTTCCCACCCCCACTAACAACAACCAGGATTTAAGGAAATTATTAGCGGAGTCATTACTACTGCGGCCACGCTAATAAAGCCCACAGGCATCCGGAGCCGGGAAATTGCAGCAGCGGGTGAAACCCATCCCCGGGCTGCTTCGGCGCCGCTACCTGCGATTCATCATGGATCCTTTCTTCGCATTGTTTAACATTTTTTCTCCCCCCCCCCCCCCAAAAAAAAAATTTCCCCCCCCCCCCCCCCAAGAAAAAAATATTACCAGCAGGCAGCTCCTCTGCCTGGTTGAAGAGGGAAGAGGGGGATGGAGAAGAGGGGTGGCGGTGGCGGCTGGCGCCGGGGGGGGGGGTGGCGCCGGGGGCGGGGGGGGGGGCCCCCTCCTCCCCCGGCTGGTCCCCATCCTTCCCCGGCTGAGGCTGCGATGGCAGTGGGGTGGGAAGGAGCGGGGTGGGGGCACCGCGGTGGGTGAGGGTGGCTGGGGACGAGGCGTGGGGGGCTTGTGGGAGGTGGGTATGAAAAGCCGGGGTGCATCTGACCCCCCAGCACCTGGAGCAAGGAGCAGAGGGTCCCTCCTCACCTCCTGGCAGTGGCTTTGTCCCTGCTGCGTCCCCCTGCTCCCTGGGGACCCTGGATGAGGAGCAGCCTGGGGCCAAGCCACCGCCTCCCAGCGCAGCATCCCGCTTCGCCCCATACCTGCTTCTCGCCGCCGACCTCCTGCGCTTGGCTCCTCCGACGAGGGCAGCATCTCTCCCGCTTCCCCGCCGGCCGCCACCGTCCCCGCCGAGCGAGCGGAGCGAACCGGGGGGCTACGGGGTGGGGGACGGAGCGCGCACACCCCGCTCCGGTGCACAAAGGAGGCGGCTGCTGAGCGGCTCAGGGCTTTGTCGGAGAGGAGGGATGCTGGGCAGGAGGGATGAAGCCTGAAGAGGAGGCAGGAGCCACGGGAAGCATCCGGCTCCCTGCGGCCAGCACCTCCATGCCAGCCAGGCCCTGGGGAAGGAGGGAGGGTGGTGGCTGCGGGAGGAGGAGGAAGGGGGGCAGAGGCCGAAGGCCCCGCTGGGTTGGTGGGAGGGCGAGGGCTGCTGGGCACCCTGGGGACGGCGGGTCCCCGGGGAGCTGCGGGGCTCAGGGGGGGCTACGCATGGTGAAGGCAGGGGCGAGAGAGGGAGGGATGGAGGGATGGAGGGATGGAGGGAAGGAGGGAGGGCGAGCGCTAGCAGCCGCCTCCTCCTCCTCCTTTGCAGCCTGAGCCCGGACTGTTTCTCTCTGCTGCTTTCCTCCTTCACAGCTCCCTCTGCCTGTCTCCCCACGAACACCGCGGGCCCTCGCTGGGCCTTGCTGCCATGCGGCAGCCCGCCGGCCTCATCCTGCCTCTCCCCGGCTCCCCAGTGCCACCCTTGCCCCCACCAGTGAAGCCCCGGCCCCTGGCAGGCTCCCAGCTGGAGTCACCCCAGAGCATCCCCCCCGGGGGGGCAGCCCATGTGGCGTGTGTGGCTGAGCCTGGGCACCTGCATTGCTCCTTCCCCATCCTGGGCTGGACCCACAGTTGCAAGGACCCTGGCTTGGTCCTGATCCAGTCCCTGAGCACCCCAGCTTGGTCCTATTCTGCTCCCTGAGCACCCTGGCTTGGTCCTGTTCTGCTCCCTGAGCACCCCGACTTGGTCCCCAGCTGGTCCACAAGCACCCTGGATCAATCCCTGGCTTGGTCCTGATCTGGTCCCCAGTCACCCTGGCTTAATCCCTGGCTTGGTCCTGATCCAGTTCCCAAGCACCCCAGCTTGGTCCCCAGCTTGATCCTGGTACAGTTCCCAAGCACCTTGGCTTGGTCCCTGGTTTGGTCCTGATCTGGTCCCCGATCACCCTGGCTTAATCCCTGACTTGGTCCTGATCCAGTCCCTGACCAGCCTGGCTTGGTCTCCAGTTTGGTCCTGATACAGTTCCTGAGCGCCCTGACTTGGTCCCTGTCTTGGTCCTGATCTGGACCCCGATCACCGTGGCTTAATCCCTGACTTGGTCCTGACCCAGTCCCCGAGCACCCCAGCTTGGCCCCCAGCGCTGATGGCATCCAGCACTGACGTGTTTGCTTGTCTCTGGTGTGGACACAGGGAAAGGCGGCAGCGTTGGGACCAGGCTGCTGCCAGCCTGGGGGGGAATGGTTGTCCCCATCACCCCCACATTTTGGGGTGCAACCGCTCCTCCTCTCCTGAAAACGCAAGCACGGTGCTCAGTCCCATCCCACCCCAGAAGCAGCTGCACCCAGCCGCCGCGGTGGGTGCCCTCCTCCCTCGACAGCGCCGGCCGCGGGAGCAGAGGGCAAAGGCTCGAGCCCGGATGCCTTCGCAGAGCTTTCAGACTCAGCATCAATAATAGATGCCCTTTCGGAGGGGTATTAATAAAGGCCTCATGCATCATGCATGGCCAGCGGCGCGGGGGAAAGCAGGGCTGTTCGCTGCCCGGCGAGAGCTGACGTCCCGCGGAGAGGTGCCCAAAAGACGCCTCGTCCTGAAGGAAACCTGGGTGCTGAGGTCCTTATTGACAATATCTGGGGTGTCCCCCAAGAGTAAGGGTTTTTCCTGGTGCCTGGGGTCACCCGCACCCCACGGAGAGGTCCTTGCTCCAGATCAGGCTCTCGCATATGTGGGATGGTTTGGCTGCTGGGGCCGGCAGTGCTTGGGGCCAGTGGGTGCCCACCCGAGGGGCACGAGCACCCTTGGGTGCCATCCCAGGTGTGAGCTCTTAGGGACAGGTCCAAGGGGACATTTAGGATTTCCTCCTCAACCAGGTTTCCTTCTGGCCCCTTCCCTCATCCCCTCCCTGCTCAGGGGACCCCATGTCCCCTGCTCAGCTTCCCACCCCATCTCCACGGGGTTCTCCCACCCCATGGCAAGCTTGGTGCCAGGCAGTGGATTTTGCCAGGATAATGGGATAACTGGGGTTTAGCCCCAGGGTGCTCCAGCCCACATGTCAGCAAAAGGCTGGGGGACATGAGGACACCTGGGGAAGGAGACCTCCCTCCTCCATAACACAGGTGGGGGGCAGATCCCCCCTCTCCAGGGCTGGTGGAGGGGCCAAAATCTGTCAGAGAGAGCAGATTTGCAGCCATGCTCAGTGCCCCTTCCCTGCCTCAGTTTCCCCCTCTGCAAGAAAAGGCCAATATCCCCAAAATGCCTGAGTGCTGATGGCGATCGCCGAGCCCCAAGCCAGGGCCGTGCCCCGCTCCATTCCCACAGGTGTCTTCTCCTCCCCATTAATTAAAACCAAAGACCGGCATGCCCCATCCGAGTGAGCATCTCCTGTTAGAAGGATGAGATTTGGGGGGATATATGGTTTTGGGTGATTCTTAACTGCTGGAGGAGGAAGGCTCTGCTATCAGCAGCACTTTTCCAGGCTGCAAAATCTCCTCCTGAGCCATCCGGCTACTGGCTGTCCCAGGAGAAGGGAAAAGGCATCTCTCGGCAGCTCAAACGCCGAAAGGGAGGGAGCCAACAGCCCCCCCAGCTTCGCAGGGGGCCGCATCCTGCCTGCCTGATGGTGCCTGGATCTCCTCCAGCCCCGGGGCTGTGCCAGGTTGAAGACGGGGAGCGGAGCTGTATTTCACCCCGTTTCTTGCGGGTGAAGCCTGCCGGGGTGCGCAGGGCACCCACAGCCCACGGGGGACCAGGAGCCCAGGGTGGGGGCTCTGGGCTGGACTTTGGGGTCCCCCCAGCGGAGCCAGCGGCTCTGGATCCAAGTAGGGCAGATCCCTCCAGGGCTCAGCCCCATCGGAATAAACCCGGAGCCACGTCCCCCTTTTCAGAGGGGGATCCATCGGCGGGGAACAGGGATCCCTTCCCAGGACAAGACCCTTCTCCCGGGCTGAGCCACCCACCCTGAGGATTTGGGGATGCTCGGGAGGGGGGTTGCCAACCCACCCGCTGCACTGATTGATTTTTCTCTCCCTGCTAATTATTTAAGCACTTTTTTCCCCATACGCAGCAGCGAGAGGTCAAAACCGCAACAGAAATACCACCGGCGTCGCCTGCTATAGGGGACTGAAAGGCAGAGAGCAACCCCACCAAGGTCTTAGATTAGCTCAAATCTTTAATTAGAAAAATAGACACAGTTTTCTAATATTCCTGATAGATTTTTTTTTTCTACAAACAGGAAAATAATAATAATAATAATAACGACATCACCTTTCCAAAGGGACCATTACGCACCGGTTGCCGGAGCCCGGCGGTATCTCTCTCCCTCGGGAGAAAGGACCGGTGCAGCCGCAGCCCCCGACCGTGCCGGCCGGTAAATAACCGCTCGGCAGCTCCGCGTAAAGTGCTGGAAATCAGAGTCAGGTCACTACAAACGCAGAATGTCCGTGGGTTTGGGTACATAAAAAACCCATCTCGGTGGGGATTTCTTTCTGTACATGTTTTTTTTTCCCCCCCTCCTTGGAATAGGAGCTGTAAAAATGATTCAGTCCCTGCAGTTTGGAGATGGCTCCGGGTGGCCGGAGCTGCCACATCCCTCCTCCGCAGCCAGTGGTCCAGCGCCGCAGCATCGCCTCTGCCTCCGGCGTGCCCTTCTCCTCCCCGGCACGGCCCGATCTGCCGTCATCTTCTCCGGGGCCACCCCAGGAGGATATTCCCACCCCGGCTCTCCCGTGAGATGCTCAGGGGACCTCGGGAAACGCCGTCTCCCAGCGCTCAGGTTGGGGCTTCACAGTGTCCCGAAGGAGAGACCCACCGAGAAGAAACCCAAACCTTTGAGCTTCTCCTCCGTCCGGGCTTTCTGCTTCAGGTGGACCTTGCTGTGACGTTTCTTCTCGTCGCTCCTGGCGAAGCGGCGGCCGCAGGTGTCGCAGGAGAAGGGCTTCTCGCCGGTGTGGGTGCGGATGTGGGTGGTGAGGTGGTCGCTGCGGCTGAAGTTCCTCAGGCAGATGCGGCACTGGAAGGGTTTGTGGCCCGTATGGATGCGGAGGTGCCTGTTGAGCTCATCCGAGCGGGCGAAGCTGCGGATGCAGTTCTCCACCGGGCAGGCGAAAGCCTTCTCGTGGGGTTTCGGGCAGAAGCATTTGGAAGAGCACTTGGTCCGGCGGGTCTTCTTTTTGGGCTCGGCCAAGGCAGGAGGGTTGGTGGGCAGCAGGGAAGGGATGGAGGAAGAGGTGGGGTGGCCCAAAAAGTCCGTGGGGGGGACAGAGGGCGAGGGGTGAGGATGGAGGAGCTCGGCAGAGCTCATCAGACCCGGCAGGACTTCGGGCTGGGCCAAGGAGGCGTCGAACTCCGGCATTAATGGAGGAGGGAGGTTGTGGATCTTGGTGTCGGCAAAGTCCCCGCGGGCCGGGAAGTTTTCTGGCTCGCAGCCGAAGCCCAGATGGGTGCCGAAGCAGGCAGCGTCCTCCGCCAGGCTGCCGAGCTCCGACTGGCAGCTGACGGACAAAACGCTCTCCATCTTGGAGCCCAGCGGGTGGAACAGCCCCTGGCTGCTCTCCCCAGCCGGGAAGGCTTCGGGAGAATGGTAGCCGGCGGGCAAGTAGGCCTGATGCTGGGTGACGGGCTCCCACTGGGCGCAGGAGGCTTTAAACTTGTCCAGGGGTGGGGAACCAGAGGGCAGCTTGATGTCCTGCTTGGTGTCCAGGAGCTTGGGCTGGAAGAAGCACTGCGAGGTGTTTCCCAAGGCGGGTTGTGCCTGGAGGGGCTGTGCACCCTCTGCCGTGGGGAAGCCACCGTAGCCCTGCTCCGGGAAGGGGGCTTGGGTGGATCCGTTCATTTCGGGCTGGCAGGCGGCGTAAAGGTCCAGCTGGCTCTGAGCCACCTCGGGACAAGGGTAAAGAGCGTCCGGGTGCCTTTGGTGGCCCTCGGAGGAGGCGAAGGGGGAGATGCCCAGGATCCCCGACATCAGGTTGAAGAGGGATTCCTGGTCCTGGGGATGCTCCGGTACCGCCTTGATGAAGAAGCTGCCGGTGTAGCTGAGCGAAGGGGAGGGCTGGCTGCCCAGGAGGGAGTAATCCCCCGCCCCGCCGCTCATCGGGGCGCCCAGCAGCTCACCTGGGGAGGCAGAGGGGACGGCGGTTAGAGGGACGGAGGGATGCGGGGATGGGGGGGCGGGATACGGGGGAACAGCGGGATGCTGATGTTGCGTCACTGCGAGGTCCCCGTCCTAGCCGGGTCCCCGGGACCACACAGGGAGCCCTGGGCTTCACCCCCCTTCCCCAGCAGCACCCCCAGGACCCCCACCCTGCGCTAGCGGGGGGACTGTTGAACCCACAGCCAGGGGCTGGGAGCAGGCTGGGGGCAGAGGGGAGATGCCCAATTCCCGGCTGGAGCTATCATTCCCAGTGGGGTCCCTCAGCCCCCCTGCCATTACCTCCGAGGAAATCGGCCTCTGCCAGAAGTTGCTGCTCAGGCTGCCCCAAGCCCTGCAGGTCTCCGGTTTTCATCTCGCAGCTTTCCTCGTACTTGGAGTAAAGCGGATCCGGGCAGGAGAAATCCATAACGTTGAGCATTTCCCCTGGAGCGGTGGAGCCGGGCTGGGGGGAGCCAGGGGATGCTGGGGGCGAGCCGGGGGATGCTGGGGGCGAGCCGGGGGATGCCCGGGGTAGGTGCCAGGGACCGTCTGGGCGATGCTCGGGGGTGCTTGGGGCAATCCGAGTGCTGCTCCGGGGTGCTTGGGGCGATCTGGAAGATGCTCGGGGGTGCTTGGGGCGATGCGGGTGATGCTCGGGCCGGCTGCCGGGAGCGATCCGGGGGGTGCAGTGCCCCGGAGGGGGCGG